GAATCTACATTTTAACAAGTACACTGATTCTGACACACTTGATAGGGGAACTATCTTTTGTGAAACACTGAAGTACAGGCTCTCCTCCAAGCCATTGAATATACTGCTATCAAATTAACGTTCATGAAATAGTTCTCATAATTTTTAAATAACAAGTACTTGGCACCAAACATGATTCTGTGCTTCACACAAGACACCTAACTTGAATCCAGTAGGGCTGATATTATATTCAGGCAAAGAAAGAGAAAATGATGGGGGTTAACTCTGTTAATTGCTAACAACAAAATTTAAACTTCAGCCTCCTTCCAGAAAACTATGTCCTGTGTCATTCTCCGCTCTACAAAGGCAATAACCAGAAGTTTCACTGGTATCTCCATGGTCAACTGGCTCAGATCCCTGATCTGGACTGAAAAGCTCTCAGCTTATTCCCCTACCTAATTTCCAATATACCCCCATGATCTGATAATTTTTTATTTACTACTCCATTCCCTCTTATGTTTTAAATATCCCTCCTACCTAATGTTCCCGCCAGTGCTGTAGATACTTAGATCTTTATTTAATAAAATCATAAGCAGCATTTCATCCAGTCAACAGCAACTTCTCCTCTCTCTCTTCCCATGAATTTCCTTGCTACCAATTGATGGGGGAGTCAGATTTGAGCTCCTTTTTATCCCCAGGACTCTTTATCCATTAGGTATGCAATAAAGCTTTTTCTTTAAACAAAAGCTCAGTCCCATAGGATTGGCTTCTCCAGGGCAGCAGGCCCTTGCTCAATAACAGTTCCCCAACTTGATATTGACTAAAAATCATTGGCTGTACACTTAAAATGGGTGAGGTTTAAAAGATGTAAATTATACAATAAAGATTTTTTAAAATAAAATCTTATCCTTAAACAATTGAACAATAAAGTTAGTCAGAAACAGACTCTAAGACTCAACAGAGAGCAGGGCATCATGGCAGTTTTCCTCAAGGGAAGATTCACATGCCTTCTTCTTACTTGCTGGCCATTACAAGGTAAGCCTGCTGAGGACAAGGATATTTTGTATTTTGTTCTCTTTTATATCCCCAGCTCCTAGAATAATAACTGATACATAGTAGGCATGTCAACTGATGTTAAATGAATTAATTTTAAAACTTCTATTCTTTTTTTTTTCTATTCCCTCACTCTTCCACATAGAATCCAACTTCTTTCTCCAGGGAGGGATTGGCCAACTTCCCAAAAGCCACAGATGCCTCAAAGCAGAGCTGACACTGGCTGGTCTCCAAAGCCTATACTCATAACCACTTCTCAGTGCTGCCTCCCCAGAGCACTGAACAAATGCTAGCTGGGATTACCATCAAATCTGCAAAGAGCTAGACTACATAGATCCTAAGAAACGGTCAAACTGATTTGTATAGTTTCTTCACTTAAAAGGAGGATGAGTAAATAAAAAAGACGGATTTTTGGGCTGGGGATGTGGCTCGAGTGGTAGCGCGCTCGCCTGGCATGCGTGCGGCCCAGGTTCGATCCTCAGCACCACATACAAACAAAGATGTTGTGTCTGCCGAAAACTGAAAAATAAATATTAAAAAAATTCTCTCTTTCTCTCTCTTAAAACAAAACAAAAAAACGGATTTTGAAAACAGCAGGAAGATTGTGGATTTTAGAATCCAAAAAGTTAAGTCTGAATTCAGATTCCTGGCTGTGTGACACTGGGCATAGTACCTAACTGCTCTGAGTTGGTTTCTTTACAAAAATAGCAAAATACTGTTATCCTTGTAGGATTACTGTGAGACTTGATCAAAATGTCTGTTACATACCCACCTAGGCTGCATGAGATGCTCAATAAATGCCAAACAACTAAAAGAAATGGGAGGTCGAAACTAAAGTGGATAAAGCCACACAGAAAAGAACAAGTAGAAGATAGGAGGAGTAATACAAGGACAGAAAAAAATAGGCAGAAAGGGGCTCAATGACATCTATGTAAAATTAAAACACACCCAAAGCACAGGTACTTCTAAGGGCATACATTCAATAAGTTAAATGAATGTTTTGGAAGGAGTAAAAGGGAATACAGACAAGGAAAGGGCTTGGGTGAGTTGCCACTGCTAATGGAAACACCTGAGATCCCAGACACTGGCCCCGCACCCCCACTCTCACTAACACACTCCTGCCTGTACTCAGGCAAGGATGCAAAGGGGAAGAAAGGCCTGCGTCTCTGTTTGTTCCCAAACTCGTTGATGTTTTGTTCTCCTATCTACCAACTGCTCAAAAAATCTACCCCCTGCTGGCTCCACTGAGCCTAAAATCCTGCACAATTCCCCTAGGCCCCCACCTGCCACAACTACTTTACCATCAGAGTTCTCCTTCCCCTCCTCAAACGCCAAGATGGCTTGCCAAGGACTCAGTTCATGACAATCTGTCTAATGTCTGCTATCTCTAAAGAATACATTATTAGATAAATTAAAAATATTAGGAGTTAAATTTTCTTATAGGAACTGTATATAGTACACAGCTGGATTAGTTTTAAAAGAGCTCAAAAAAGTTGACAATGTCATCTGATAAGCTCTCAAAAATTGAAGTGAGGAACAGAGCTGGAAAGGTGAGGTCCAACTGCCTCCCCCCATGCTGCCCAGGAGCAGAGACACATGTACCTGTTGAGCACTTAAAGAGTGGTGACTCCAAATTGAGATGTGCTGTCAGTATAAAATATACCAGATTTTGAAGACCCACTACTAAAAACGAATATCACAAATAGTTTTATGTTTATTACTTGTGGGAATAATATTTTGGATATAATGTCTTAAGTAAAATTTACCATTAAAATAAATTTGACCAGTTTTCTTATACTTTTAAAATGTGGTTTTCAGAAAATTTTACACTGCAGATGTGGTTGCTTTATATTTCTATTAAAGAGAAAAATGGAGTAACTTTGATTGGGCAAAGGGGAGGGAGGGTAAGGAGGGTGCATGGAGGCTGGAAAGACGGTGGAATGAGATGGATATCATGATCCTAGATACATGTAATACTGCACATAGGGTGTGATGCTATATAGTGTACAGCCAGAGAAATGAAAAGTTGTGCTGCAATTGTGTAGAATGGATCAAAATGCATTTTTCTGTCATATATACCTAATTAAATTTTTTTTTTAAAAATAGAGTACTAGTCTGGACTTTTTTAGTCAATGACTTTATCACAGGAACATCCTCTGATGATATCTGATGATCTGGCAATCTGAATAAGTTTCTCACTCAGCTAGTTTCACACTCAAGTGAAACATATCTCCAATTTCATTTCTTTTATAATACTGCATGCTTGCTTTTGAATGGTAGAGTCTAAAACTTCTCATAAAGCCTATTTAAGTTTCAAACTTTTGGCAACCATATCAAAAGATGAATTGAAAATGAACTGAAAGGTAATGATTTAGTCAAGAAAGCCAAGAGCTTCCCTCTTCCTTGCAGAAATGTCAGGTTTTCATGGTGGTCAACTCTCCTCCAGTTTGCCAACCTATAGTATGCCAACATAAAAGAATAGTAGGCCCAAACCAAACAAAGACATAAGAAAACTACAGATCAGTATCCCTTTGGAATGCTATGCAAGAATCCTTAACAAAATTTAGCAAACTGAATTCAATAATACATTAAAAGGACTACACACTATGATCAAGTGGGATTTATTCCTGAAATGCAAGGGTGATTCACATATGAAAATCAACTTTATATACCACATTGAAAGAATAGACAGAAAGGAACTACACTTGATCATCTCAATGTGGAAAAAGCATGTGACAAAATTCAATGTCCTTTCAAGATAAAAACATTCAGGGGCTGGGGATGTGGCTCAGCAGTAGAGTGCTTGCCTAGCATGTGCGGGGCCCTGGGTTCGATCCTCAGCACCACATAAAGATAAATAAATAAATAAAGGTATTGTGTCCAACTACAACTAAAATATAAATATTAAAAAAAAAAGATAAAAAATTCAACAAACTAAGCATAGAAGGAAACTACCTCAACATAATAAAGACCACATATGAAAACTCCATAGCTAACACCATACCGAATGGTAAAAGACTGATCAAGAACAAGACAAGGGAGCTGGGGTTATGGCTCAGTGGTAGAGCACTTGCCTAGCACATGTGAGGCACTGGGTTTGATTCTCAGCACCACATAAAAATAAATAAAGGTACTGTGTCTATCTACAACTAAAATTTTTTTTTTAAAAAAATAAATTTTATAAGAGAACAAGGCAAGGATGCCCTACCCTCTTTTACCACTTTAATTTTATACTAGAAGATCTGGTAAGAGCAACTAATAAGCAAGAAGAGAAATAAAAGGTATCCAAACGAGAAAAAAAAAGTAAAATTATCTCTGTTCACAGATGATATGCTCTTATATACAGGAAACTTTAAAGGTTCTAAAACACTGTCATAGCTAATGCATTGAATTTAGCAAAGTTACAGGTACAAAATGAACACAGAAAAATCAGTGGTACATCTATAAGCTAGAAATGGACAATCTGAAAAAGAAACTTAAAATTAAGAATTTCATTTAAAAAGCATCAAAAAGAATACTTAAGAACAGATTTAATCAAGGGGTCTAAAAATTTGTACACTAAATGCTACAAAATTTTGCTCAAAGACATTAAAAATGACATAAATGAAACACACTGTATATTTGTGGAATGGAAGATAATTTAGTTAATATGTCAATACTAAAATGAATCTCTGGTGAAGAGGATGAAGAGGTAGAATTAAGAAGCAGGGTGGAAGGGAAAGTAATAAAAGCAAGACATCTACATATAACTTTCTATGTACATTTGAATTTTGAACTGTGTAACTGTTTAACCTATTTAAGAAATGCACTAAATGAAAAAGAAAATAAGCAAATATTAAAATTGAAAACAAAATATGTTGCAAATCAATAATGTTTTTTTTTCAATTATTAAAGTTTTTTTTTTTTTTTTTTTTAACTTTTAATTCTGAAGTACAACAAAAATAAGTTCTGGGTTTTTGTCTTAACAAATGATTATAGTCTTTCCCACAGCATGCTCCTCAGCYACATAAGCCACCGAATGGGGACAGTCTTTCCTATTTGTTGCTTACAATTCCTAAGCAGTCMATATCTGATATTTTATTTCTGGGTAAGAGAAAAAGCATTTTGGTCCATTAATTCACCTACTCGCTCCTGGAGGACATTAACCAACTCTGCTATTACGAAGACATGAGTGTCATCGATATCTTGAATGATGAACTTCTTCCCCAGGGCATTGGACTCATCCAAGTACAGTAGAAACTGCTTCATGGCAGGATCGCATTCTATAAGCACTCCTTTCAAGACRTTGACCATCTTTTTTCCAGTCAGAAGGTGCAGATGACCTCAATAATCCTCCGCCCAGAGACCCAGCGAGCCTCGGCGTCGCCCACACAGTGCTCCGGCGCCGCAAATCAATAATGTTAAAAAATTATTTAAGTGACTTTTGAATATACTATTCTAACTGCACTTCCTTGTTTATGGTATATGTAAGGACAAGGAGAACTGCAAGGAAATACAAATTCTATCCTATTTCTATTATTAGTGATACTGATTGTTACTTTAAAACCATATTTTGTATGCTGAAAAACAAAGAAAACAATGTCAATGTTTCAGGCTATGAGAAACCAAGATTTTCAATATAAGTAAAAATATAAAGCTCAAAGAATATACTGTGGTAATAATGTGAATTAATACTGCATAAACTTGTGATTTTTAAAAATATCATCATCCCTAGCTCTATCTATTGCAGACCTAGAAACCACAGTACCCCAATAGCAATGAGCACATTTAGTGCCCAGAGTTTGGTTTTCCAATAAAAGAAACTAAGGTTCCTTGGGAAAATGACTGATTCCGAAACCAGGCAGAAGAGTACAAGATGAGCCTAAAACATCAGAAAACAGACATGCTCAAAACTAACATCAAGGGGCATATCAAAAAGTCATGAAATGAACTGAAGGGGATCTGTTGATCAGGATTAGAATACTTTGCGCCCTAAGAGCATTTTCTGTAACTGATTATGAAAATCATCACTAAGTTTTTGGAGATGACTATGAGACCTCTTTACTCTGAAAATTAGTCATTCAAAAGGAAGAACTAAACATTTGCCATGACTTTTTCAAGAGGAATTTTCCCAATTGACAAGTGAAAGCACTTAAAAAAAAAAAAAAAAAAAGGCTGGTGATGTAACACGGTAGTAAAGCATCCTAGGGTTCGATTCCCAGTGCCAAAAAAAAAAAAAAAAAAAGACAAAATTAGAGAACCACTATTTCGTAATACCTCATGAAATAACTGATTATTAATGAATGCATTGTTAGGAAATGAGAATATTCAATTTGATGCCCCCAAATCACCTGACAGTATCTGCTAAGCACAAAGGGAAAAAATGTACCTTTATCTCGGAAAGATAATTCACATAATTAAATTGAGAATCACTCACAATGGAACAACCTAGCATTATACCTTCTTCCAATTCTTCAAGATCAAGTAGTCAGGAACTTTCCTAAAATACTTGATCTGAATCTAATGCCTCCTTGACAAAAGGCACAGCAGATAGAGGACCAAATTACACTATGAAGAAGCATCAGATGAATGTGGAAAGTATCTATGGCAGGTCTGGTTCAGTCAATGCAGAGGTGAAAAGGTGAGAGCACTGTCCAACAAAGGGACTGACGGGGTATAAGCAAATGCAATACATGACCCTCAGCTGGACACCAATGCAAAATGGCAAGTCAAAAATCATTTGGGTGGACACTGGGGTTGTGGCTCAGCAATAGAATGCTCGCCTAGCATATGCGAGGCACTGAGTTCGATCCTCAGGACCACATAAAATAAATAAATAAAATGAAGGTATTGTATCCAACTACAACTTAAAAAAAAAAACACAACATGGGGGTGCTGGGATTGTGGCTCAGAGGTAGAACACTCGACTAGCATAAGTGAGGCACTGGGTTCGATCCTTAGCACTATACAAAAATAAAATAAAGGTATTGTGCCCACCTATAACTAAAAAATTAAAAATTGAAAAAAAATTTGGGAACCAGAAGTTACCCTTTTCTCAACTAGTCACTTTCTTCTTCATGCTGACATCAGATCTGCCTTTGGAGACAGTTCAACTGGATGTGCTAACCCCTTCGATCTTGTTTATCTTTGAGAACAGGATGCCTATAGAGCAGATCCTCTTCCAGTGAGCCACTGAAACTGATTGCATCTAAGATCGCTGCCAGAGTAACCCCCAAAAAACCTCTGACTTCATTATAATCCATCTACATGCTATAGTGCCATGACAGTTGATATGACAGCAAAAGAATGAACCATAAAAGGAACAAAAAGAGGTGGCATCTGAATTCCTGGAAAATCTCCACTTCTTCACAGAAAGACATGAATATTCCTGCCTTTTATTGGCCTATCCTTCCCCTCATTTCTTTTACTCTATTATTAATACCCTCCCCAAACCCCAACAGATTGAGAAATTGATTTGAGAGTTTATCTCCTACTTCTACTCTTGGCCAAGAATAAACAACCTTCCTTCTCTGCTCAGAGTTAGGCCTTATTATTGATTCCACAATTCTGAGCAGGGAAGAGAAGGGCCCAGTTTAGGGTCAAAACCTGGCAACAGAACGTTTGTACTCACTGGACCTTGCCTTCCATTAACAAGATGGTAATGGCATAATAGGTTCTAGTAAGACCAGCAAGTGACAGGAGACAAAGGAAAATTTAATAAGTTATTAACTCTTTTTTTTTAGAGAGAGAGAGAGAGAGAGAATGAATTTTTAATATTTATTTTTTAGTTCTCAGCGGACACAACATCTTTGTTGGTATGTGGTGCTGAGGATTGAACCCGGGCTGCACGCATGCCAGGCGAGCGCGCTACCGCTTAAGCCACATCCCCAGCCCAAGTTATTAACTCTTGTCTACTAAGTCTTTGAGCTCATTATGCCTCTTTTAAATATTGTGGGAATTACTTTTGTATACAACAGTAATTATTTACCTACAATCTTTTGGGAAATGAATTGCTAAAAATTTATACTGTTATTTTACTATAATGTGAAGGACCATTTGCCTAGGTGAGAAAAAATACAAACACACACAACTTAATCCCACTTGTTTTTTCCAAAAGAAAAACATTCAAAGTAAAACATGGACATTTAATAACCTTTAAATAATACAAGAAATAATTTACATGCTATATATTCCCAAATGCAATGAACATAAATCCAACTGTATAAGACATATACACAATCTACTTTTTGCCAACATATACCCTTATACTCAGGATGTTATCTGATTTCTCAGTCCATGTGTGAGTATACACACACACACACACACACACACACACACACACACACACACGTGTCTAAATTGAAAATTAAGATAATAAACCAGAGAGTGGAATATAAGAACTCTGCCCATGGAAGATTCTTAAACCATAATATGACTAGAACCAAGGCACAAAAGCTTCCCTTTGTGGTCATAAAGTTTCCTTTCCCAGTGCTTACATCTGTAAGTAGGATTGGTTAATCACATATTACAAGTTATATTTCCGTTTAAAAACCAGTATTTTTCTTATACAGTATTACAGAACTACATTTGAAAAATAAACAGGATTAGGTAAGCTCACATACAATAAAACTTTCTTTCACTTGAAAAAGATGCTTACATTCAAAGCTAACAATAGATATAGGTGTAATAAAGAGATGCATGAGGAATCCTATGCAAATTTCCTAGTACCCTTGAGTTGTATGTACCTCATGCCAGCCAGCTAATTTAAATTTTTGATTTTAAAGCCAGATGTGTGATATTGCCAATGGCAATTGATTTGTTGTTGTTGTTGTTTGCTTGCTTGCTTGCTTATTAAAGATACGTACTAATACATAGAATAAACAGTTAACAAGGCAAAATGAAACACTTCCAGAGTTTTAGCTGCTTTTGTTAAATATTACCTAGGCTCCCCTTGGTGTCCATTTTTTCCTTTAACATAGGGGAAAAAAAAAAAGTTCCACATAGAAATGACTGTTTTAGAATTCATGCAGCCAAGCATAATCTAAAACTATCTGTCTACTTCCATTTTTACTTACCCCAAAGTTTTTGGGTACACTGAAAGTTAAATATTCTAGGAATAGCAACTCATTGGAAGGTAAGGCAGTTTAAAAATATATATGTGTACTATTCATTGTTTCTAAGAACAATTTTAGGGTTTAGCTCTTTACACTTACACAGTTATCAAAGGATTAAAGCCAACCACAAAATAAGAATCAATAGAATGCAGTAATCCATATATAAAAGACGGTAAAATGTGTTTGTATGTATTCAAGAAATCAATAATCTAAGCTACAAGTAATAAATCATCAAATGTAGCACTAAACAAATTACAATCAGTATAAGACCTTAAATTTCATTAATTTTGAATATGGAAATAGGACTGGCTAAACATGAATTAAACAGTACTTCTGCAACTGTTTATCAGGAGTATTGATGCATGCAACCCCTGCAGTAATGAGAGTGCAATTCTTTACAAACTAAATGAGGTTGATCAATAGAAAAACAAAGCAAACCCCATCTTGTTCTAGGCTATAAAACTTAAAGATAAATAATAAACTGAGAATTTATTTTAAGGCTCTCTTAGAAATATTTTTCATGGCACTTCAATATTAAACATCACTAAAAGGCAGAATATGTAAATATTCATAGTTGCACAGTTACATAATTAAAAGTACATGCCATGTTAATTATTAAGAGATCATTTTGTTGAGTTTTCTTACCTCACAGTTACAATTAAGGAAAGCTATTCATGTTTTGCTGTAATTAACATATAAACCATACAGAAATGTCAATTCACTAGTGTACAGTGCAAATTGTGTTTTAAGTAAATATGGCAAATACCACTCATTTCTTATAGAACTGAATGTCATTCCTTGCTAGAAATCCAATTAAACTGACTTATTTTTCTTACAAGAGCAGTTAATTTCCTTTCTTCAGCCATTCATGTACTGTTAAATCCCATTCTAACTCCCCTTTGGTCATGGCACATAGACCATCCTCACCATAATTCATTTCTTGTTCTATGTTCAGTCCAGAAAAACACTTGGAAAGTCTAACAGGTCATTCTTGCCACACCATATTCTAAGCTGACCACACCAGGTTCCGATTTGGAAAACTCTTCTGTATAATCACTGTAACGATTATCTGCTGGGTTGCTGCCCTCTATAGTTCGAAGCGCATCATTCACTGGTAGTAGAGTCTGTTCTTTAAGACACAGAGAAGTTTTGAGGGTAGGTGATTCTGGATGAACTGAATGTAATAATTCCTTGGTGAGGACACCATCTGATTGCTTATTTTTACACTGCTTAATTTTCTAGAATAAATAAAATTTGAAAAAAAATTACACACCTCATGGTCAATATATGTTGGATTAAAAAAACGTGCTTTTGCAAATGTTCTCCTTATATATAACACAAAATTACATCTTGAAAAATAAAATCTAGGGCACATGATACAACTTAAAATTCTGTTTACAATTTTTACTGTGGAAAATGCTTTTGTAAGTTTTTATATTTATTAAACAACAATCCACACTTGACTGCAGATCACTAGGCCTACATTTGAAAAAGATATATATTACCTAGAAAATATAACAAGTAAACATTTTATAATGAAAGAAATGTATATTAGACACTGTCTTTGAAATTGAAACTATATTAACAACCATACACTTATGACTAAAGGTCATAATGACTGTGAAAAATTTTTCTTACTGAGTCTTCCTACAATGGTTAGATGGGTGTACATGATAGGCTTTAGAATAGCAATAGAACTTATTATTATTATTTTAAATACAAAGGTGTCCTGTGGCAGAGTATTATGCTCTCTAAACCCTTGGGCTGATCTCCAGATAATATTGTACTACCCATATTTTGGACTTCCTCTCTTTTCCATATTCTCCTACAATTTACTCAAGCAGTCACTACACCTTGTTATCAAAAAGATGACTAAGGGACATCTGCCTGAGAGGCAGATGAGACAGCCTTACTAAGTTAAAAACAACTGTCTAGTATTTTTTAAAAATGCACATGCATTTCCTGATCCTTTCTGGTTATAAATGACAACAAAGAAAATATTAAAGGAAATTCTTAGAAGAGAGGGATTTCTTTTCTTTCTTTCTTTTTTTTGTTGAGGGTGGTAACAGGGATCAAAGCCAAGGGTTCAATCTTTATCACTGAACACATTTTCAGCCCTTTTTTATATTTTATTTAGAGACAGGGTCTCGCTGAGTTACTTAGAGCCTTGCTAAATTGCTGAGGCTGGCATTGAACTCATGATCCTCCTGCCTTAGCCTTCCAAGCCGCTGGGTTTACAGTCGTGTGACCCCCATGCCCAGCAAGAAGACAGGGATTTCTTAATACACACTCAAAAAACAAAACTTAAGGATTGATCAGTTTAACTAATATGAAAATCAAAACATCTAAATAAAACATACACTATATAAAGTAGAAAATATAAGAATAAGCTGAACAAAGCTGTTTGTTAACACACATTTGTATTATACACAACCAGACAACTAGTGTCTTGTATGTAAAGAGCTCTTATAAATAAATCAATAAGAAAAAGGCAAATGAGCCAACAGAAAAATGTGCATAAGTTTGAATAGTTCATTCACAGAAAACAAAAACCAAATGAGTAATAAACACATGAAAAGTCACCCAACTTCATTTCTAATCATGGAAATTCAAAAGTGAAACAACTTAAACAGAGCAAGTTAACTAATTTTACATTTTAAATATATTATTTTAGACACTTCAGAATACTTACAGATTCTAGGTCTTGAATATCCTTCTCTAACTGCTTATTTTGTTCATTCATGTTCATAATTATATTGAATATAGACTGCCTTGGATGCAATGTTCGATCAAACTGGTGGTACATGTTTCTCCAAAACCTTTATGAAAAAATAAAGTTTTTACCAAAACTCAGAAAGAATAAGCTCTAGTGTTCTATAGTATAGCAGGGTGGTAATACTTTATAATAACCTATTATTTATTTTATGAATAATTAGAAGAGAGAAGCTTGAAGGCTCTAAACCCAAAGTAATGATGAGAAGATACAAACATTAGTTATTTGTTCAGTACATATTGCATCACATTGTACTTCACAAATATGTTCAATTATTATATATATATATATACTTTTGGGGGGTACTAGGGATTGAACTTAGGGGCACTTGACCACTGAGTCACATCCCCAGCCCTACACTGTATTTTATTTAGAGACACAGTCTCACTGAGTTGCTTAGTGCCTCGCTGTTGCTGAGGGTAGCTTTGAACTCCTGATCCTCCTGCCTCAGCCTCCTGAGCTACTGGGATTGCAGGCGTGCGCTACTGTGCCCAGCCAATTATTATATGTTAATCAAAAAATTTAAAGTAATTGTTTAAAGACATGGAAATGCTTACTGTTCTGATTTGATCATTACACATGTATTATGCTATACTCCCTAAATATGTACACTTAGATAATAAATTAAACAATTAAAATAAACTGTGTTTGAGAAAAAGTAAATATAAACACTTCAATGATGCAAACTTACTTAAAATTGAAAGATACTGTATTTGGTTCCAAAACTGTAAACCTCTGAGATTTGGAACTGTAGAGAGGATTTAAGTACTTCTTTTGGTCATCCAAAAGAAATGGCCACAGGGAGTAAGTTTTCTCCTTCAACCTTAAGGTAATAAGAAAAATATAAAGATCTTTCTTAGAGATGCAAATTATTACTGCTAATATCATTTTCATAAAGCAAATAATTGTTTCCAAAGTAGATTTAAGTTTTAGTTTTTCTATTCAGTGTGATGTCTTGTCTCTTTCATTCATAATCATGCAAATAAATCCATGTCTCTAAAACATAACACAGGTATACCATTTTCTCTATACTATACACTTTAAACAATTCCTCTCAAATCACACAACTTCGAAAACTTGGGTCTCTCTTATACCTATTTTAAATCACTGTACACATATATGTGGAACAAGGCACTACTAGAGCTATCTGTTTGTCCTTATTCTCTTAATCCCGTATCTAGACAACACTGATGTCAGTGCAGAGAAATAGGCAAAATTAGGACATTATTCAAGAGTTTTAAAAACCAGTTATATTGCAAATCTAAAGGAGATGGTAAAGGCAAAACAGTATACACTAGAATCCAGGAGGCAAAGGGAAAATCTTCTATTTTTCCATGATAAGAAGATGAGCCATAGGCATGTTCTTAAAGAAAGACTACTATTAAATATACCCTTTATTTCTATTTTCTCATTTCTGAATATGTTTGGTACTAATTGAGAATAGATATTTCCTAGCTTTGTACCCCAAGTCACCTGCTTCAAATTATGATTAACTCTTATGAATGACTATAACGCAGAGTGAAAGTCTTAATGTTTTTGACATGTTTGTCTCTGACATATTTTGTTATTGCCTTTATACATCTTTTTTAAAAATTTTTTTTATTTATTTTTTTAAGAGAGAGAGAGAGAGAGAGAGAACTTTTTTTAATATTTATTTTTTAGTTTTCGGCAGACACAACATCTTTGTTTGTATGTGGTGCTGAGGATTGAACCCGGGCCGCACGAATGCCAGGCAAGCGCCCTACCGCTTGAGCCACATCCCCAGCCCGCCTTTATACATCTTTAGAATTTTCTACATCCTCAGTTCTGCCATCAACTGTATTAGGAGCATGTGGCTATCCTCAAACTATTACCAGATTTAGCTTCTCTAATATGTCATTCAGATGTTCAAGAATCTAGAACTGTTCTTTACTGCTACTGAAAATAATGTAAATTCAGAAGCCAAACCTAAAAAGTTATATAGGACCTTTCGGTCTTAGCCCAGATCTCACCTGCATCAAAATACCACCTGGTTGGGAAAGAACAGGTGAGTTAGGGTCATACAGTGTTTCAGAGGTTATGGGGGACCCCACACAGGAACAGACACACTATAGTCAACACAGGTAGACTTAATTTCTCCAAAGAACTATCTCTTCAGAAATGTGAGGAGAACTATAAGGCTCCATATTATCTTAAAACAAACCAAATCTTAAACATTCTACCACACTTTTAAACTAGTGACCACTGTTTTGTGGGAAACAAATTAATCTAAAGACTTCTCTATTCTAAAATATATATTTGATCTAAAAAGGAGAATGAGGGAAGTTTCAGGGTGTAGGCAGTGTTTCTTTTTTTCTCAGTGCTGGTTATATAGGCAAGTAAGATAAGATTTAATGAGCTGCACACTTAACACTAAATGTACTTTTTTGTATCTACATTATACTTCAAAATATACTTAAAGATATATTTTTACTATTAACCTGGGGGGTGGGGAACACTAGGAGGGTATTTAGCTTTAGAAATATAGACAATAAAATCTTCACAATAAAATTTAGTTCTATTTCATACTGTTGAGCCATTTAATTAAGTCCACCATAATTTATGGCTGTGTGACTTCAGCTGTGTAGGAAAAAAAAGAGAGCCCATTTTCATTAAATCATCTTACTTGAGTTCTTCTCTTTCCTTCTGACAATTTCCAAGGAAGTTTCCAAATTGGCATGAATGAATGTGTTCATGAATCTGAAGAAGAAATGCTTCATTGAATTCAAATGCTTGTGGAAACTGTTCCGTCAAATGCCACACACATTCCAAGAATTGAGTAAACACTGGTGAAACTTCCTTTGGGTCACCATCCAAATGGCCACACCTAACCACCCCCACAAGAAAGCAAAAACTTTTAAAAAATGCCTCTGAAAATAGTCCATTGTTCAAGTACCGTTAAACATATAAACTATAATTCTAAAATGCACATTAATACAAAAATTATCATTTTTTATTGAAACCATTTATCCGTATGAGTTTTGTAACAACAATTTTAAAGGATGTGTAACCTTCAAAATACTACAATTTAGCCAAAAAGGAAGGTGATAGTCATGAAAATAACACAGATATTAGAATAAAAAGCAAAGACAAAAATTAAATCTGTCTTCAAATACAATACTATACAAAACCATACCTCTCTCTCCTCCCACCAGACATAAGTGTTAAACACAGAAACACTGTAGTACCCTATTTTACAAAAGACATAAATGTACAACTGCCACTCACCTCTCTGAAAATTTATGTCCAAATGAGATCCAATCTTTTTCTATTAAAACCTTAATGAGAAAAAGTAAAATATACTTTGTAATTATCTGTAACTTTTTTCAAAATGGTTTAAATTCTATTAGCTTAAAAACAGCATTTATACTTTTGGATTATGGTTGAGAACAGAACAATAACAACCAAAAAACACTACAGGCAAAGATGTCTGGAACCTGCACTAGTGGTGGGATTAAAGAGTGAAAGTACATAAAATGAAAGGTCTCATGACAAATTTGTTTATTATATTTTAAGTGAAAAGTGCATGTTATAAAACAATATTACACTTAAATTTTTGTATGTAGGAAGATGACATAGAAAAGGCTAGGAAAATCAGGCCGCAGGCCTATACTCCCATCTACTCAGTAAACTGAGGCAGGAGGAATACAATTTCAAGGCAAGCCTGGGCAATTTAGTGAGAACCTGTCTCAAAATAAAAAACAAAAAGGGCTGGGGATGTGGCTCAGTGGTAGAATGTCCCTGGATTCAATCGCCAGTACCAAAAAAAAAAGTAAACTAAAATGCTAACAATGGTGAACTCTGGGTAGCAGACTGAGGTGTGAACATTAAACCTTTTGGGCTTACTTTTACATTACTTATAACAACTTTTTGTGAGAAAAAAATAAATGATCAAAAAGAGCAATGAAAATCACACTTTAGATTCAAACCCAAATGTTAATATTTATCCTCCCGAATGGATTATCTTTATTTATCTTTCTTCTCTGTCATAGGCTTCTTTATCAACTCTACTGAAATGCAGACTTCTAATGTTTTTCAGTCTAATTTAAACATTTCTTCTTAGTATTTACTATACCTTATAATTTCATTATATAATCGGCAAGCAAATTCTCTTCACAGTGTCAACATTGCCACTTTCACTTCTCTAATTTTGTCTTAAATCTATATCATTTAGGCAAAAGGCCATATGTCATAATGGTTAAGGATGAAGTTTCTAGAGTACAGGCTTGGGCTCAAACCCTGGCTTCACTACTTCTTCTCTTATGTGACCTTGGGACAAGTTATCTTTGGGCTGGAATCACTGATTTCATTCTAGGTCCTCTGCATCCATTTAGACACATCCACACCTAAATCTTAACTAGATTATCTCACTGAACCTGTTCCTTTGTTATGTTCAGTGAGTAGCAGGAGAGGGGCACCACCCATGCTAGAAACCAGTTCAGGAGACTAAAGGAGGGCTCTTCTACCACACACTCAATTCTGATTCTAAGTCCTTAACATTTCTGAAACCCAGTGCCTCCCTATCCACTATGTGTTGCTACCTTAGTTCTGGTCCTTTTTTTTCTCTTCACTTATTTATCATGAATGGTTTCTACACTGGACTCCCAGTCTCTATTTCTTCTCCCCTCTGCTTTCAAGGCACCAAACCATCTTTTAAGAACATAAATCTAATCAAATTACTTGAAGTTACTGTTTTTTAAAGGCTAATGTTCAATGCCCAAAGAGGGTAAAGTCTGGGCTGAGGTTGTGGCTCAGTGGTAGAGTGCTTGCCTAGCATGCATGAGGCACTCAGTTCAATCTTCAGCACCACATAAAAATAAATAATAAAGCCACTGAGTCCACCTAAAACTAAAAAATAAATATAAAAAAAAGAGGGTAAAGTCCAATTCTAGCCCCTTTTCTTCTTCAGGACCCCACTCTAACACTCTAATCTCCATGTATCAACATCATCTGCAGTCACCTAAAGGGGCAATGCAGTAGTTCACATTGCTCCTGTTACCTGAGACACTCTCAGTACCCCGGTCGTTCATTACATTACTTCATTTGGACGCCCAGCAAACAATTAAAGCCAAACACGCCAAAGAAAATATTCTTCATTTCTAGCAGGGTGCAATGGGTACAGTATACCCTGAAATTCCAGATCCAGGAGGCTAAAACAAGAGCCTCAGCAACTTAATAAGACCCTGTCTCAAGAATAAAAAACAAGACAGGCCCGGTGGCACATGCCTGTAATCCCAGCTGCTCAGAAGGCTGAGACAGGAGGATCACAAATTTAAAGCCTCAGCAATGGCAAGGTGCTGAGTAACTCAGTGAGACCCTGTTTCTAACTAAAACACAAAATAGGGCTGGGGATGTAGCTCAGTGGTTGAGTGCCCCTGAATTCAATCCCTGGTTCCCGCAAATTAATTAATTGATTTAAAAATTTTAAAAAGAAAAGAAAAGAACAGGGTTCCCCTGGGTTCAGTGTCCCGTACTGGTAAAAAAAATTTTTTTCCTTATTTCCATATGTCCTATCACAGACTGAATATGTTAGCAGCACAAAACAATAGTGCTGAAAAGGGTTTGGTGATTTTAAATCTTTCTTTAAGATGTCACTATTAAAAAAATCTAGGGGGTTGGTGATACAGCTTAGTAGTAGAGCACTTGTCTAGCATGTGTAAGGCCCAGATTCAATCTCCAAAACCATTATCAAAAATAAATAAATAAAAAGTAAAAAATCTAGGGCTAGGAGCATAGCTCAGTAGTATAGCACCTGCCTAGCATGACTGAATCCTGGGTTCAATTTTTAGCACAGGGGGGAAAATAATCTAAACTTATGAAAAATTTCTAGTATTTCTTCATTTATTAAATATACCAAAAGATGTGAAATTTGAAAGTTAATCTGATCATGTGTTAAAAAGCAAAAAACAAGGACTGGGGTTGTGGCTCAGTGGTAGAGCACTTGCTTAGCATATGTGAAGCACTGGGTTTAATCCTCAGCACCATGAAAAATAAATAAATAGAATGAAGGTACTATGTCCACCTACTACTAAAAACAAAATGTTTTTTTTTAAAAAAGCAAAAAACAAAAAGTCCAGAGCCATTTTTCTGGGGGTACCAGGGATTGAACTCAGGGGCACTCAATCACTGAGCCACATCCCCAGCACTATTTTGTGTTTTATTTAGAGACAGGGTCTCACTGAGTTGCTCAGTACCTTGCCATTGCTGAGGCTTTGAACTTTCGATATTCCTGGCTCAGCCTCCTGAGTTGCTGGGATTACAGGCATATGCCACCACGCCCACTAGTGCTTTATTTTCACAAGACATGAAATGTGTTCAATGGAAACTTAATCTTCACATATAAACATGCCCAATATGTTACTACACCTAACAAATAAAGGTGTTTTAAACAGAAAGTTCCCTTCAGAATCTAATTTTTAAGTATTTTTATATGTGCATTGTTTTACATTAATTTTTTAGACAAAATATTACAATTTTATTTTCACTGTAACATTTAAGATGGGAAAACAAATTTCTAAATCTAAAGTTTTTGCCAAAGATATAGCATGAGTGGAAATCTGTCTAAAACTAGCTCGAGATTTCTCAACCTTAGCAGTATTGACATGGGACCAGATAGTTCCTTGTTATGAATTTGTCCTGCATAAGGATATTTAACAATATTTTTGGCCTCTACCTGCTAGATACTTGCACCATTGCCTTTCCACACAAAACTGTCTTCTAACATTGCCACTGTTCCCTGGGGAGACAAAAACACTTCTATTTGAGAACCACTAACTGAATAAATCCTTACCATGAATCCTTTGATCGTCCTGTAGTAGGAATCCAATAAAAGTGAACCAAGGGAACACACTTGTGAAGTTCTATCCCACCCATCAGAACAATGTACTAATACACTTGCATTTTCGACCATTATTGCCTGAAAAGAAATATCACATACTTAGATTCTAGCAGAATGCCTTTTACATATATCTGAAGTTTATTTACTTGAAAACCATACTATCAGCTATCACATTACAAAGGAGAGCTATATCTGCAATGATGTTGGCATAGCATACTTAAAAACAAAAACAAAGCAAATAAACAACAACAACAAAAAGAAAGTATCTGTATTGAATACTACATGATATTTTCAAAGCTCAAATTAAAGTGAACCTTATTAAAGAGCTAAGTAATAAAAAGTCACCTGACCAGACTACGTACCAGTACCTAATAGGATAAATCATCCTTCCTAACCATTATATATGCAAAGTTCAACATGAAAAATAATTACTTTGGCTAGGAAGATTGCGGCATCCATAACAGCTTTGATATGGCGAAGCCATCCTGAGCTTTCCAATCCAGAGTAGAAATCATTGACAGAAAGCCCTCTGGTACCATTGACTGAAAAAAAGGGAGAAATTTTTTTCAGTTAGAATGGGGCTAGAATTTCTACTGGTCCTTCTAAAGATTTTTCTAGGTAAGTAAGTTGAAAAAGAAAGGACAAAATGAAATATGAAAAGATTCAATTAGAACCTTAATAATACATTTTGAAATACATTTTTCTATCATTCCTGTACTTAAAAGAAATTGATACAAAATCCCTTCTAAATATTTTTTAGGAGCCAGGCGCGTGGCACACACCTGTAATCCCAGTTGCTGGGGAGGCTGAGACAGGAGAATTGTGAGTTCAAAGCCAGCCTCAGCAACTATGAAACGCTAGGCAATTCAGTAAGACCCTGTCTCTAAATAAAATACAAAATAGGGCTGGGGATGTGGTTCAGTGGTCGAGTAAATACCAATAAATAAATAAATAACTAGATAGATAAATAAATAAATAGATAGATACATAGATAGATAGATTTTTAGGGCAGATGTTTAACTAAAACTAGTCTTCTATTTTAATTTTTAAAATTTAACATCATGACTGGAAAGATCTTAATACTTAAAAGAAACAGTATCATAAATTAATCTTTATTGCACTGACTATGCAAAAATAACTATCTAACAATAGCAATTTTTGCAAAACCATTAAAATTATATTAACAGAGACACCACAACCCAGACAGGACTACTGAGTACTTGAAATGTGGCTAGTCCAAACATAGCTGTGTTCTATGTGTAAAATACACACTTGATTTCTAAGACTTAAAATTTCATTACCAATTTTTATATCAACATTAAACAAGTTTTTAACATTAAGCAAATTTTTAAAATACTACTTGTTTCTTTTTACTTTAAATGTGACTAACAGAAAATTTTATAATACATGCAACTAGCATTATATTTCTATTCAACAAAGTTATCTATAAGCAAGAAAAATCATACCTTCCAATAATTTCTGAAGGCTGGACCTCATAACATGAATATTTTCTATTCCAACAAACTGAAATCTAATGTTAGAATAGTTGTCTTCATTTTCATAACCTTTTCCAGCTGCTCTGTTGGCCATCGCATTCAGCTAAAATTTAAAATTTTAGAAATTTAGAAACAAATTACTTTTATCTTTTGATTTACTAAAATGTCATAAAAACATTAAACAAGACATTATCTGGAAGAGATTTTGAAGGAACCCATCAAAACTAAATAAGCTACCATTTTTTGGTAAGCAAAATGTCACATTATCAACAATAAAGAATTGTTACTATAAAGTAACAATATATATGATTATCATATAAAGGAAAGGACTGAACAGGAAATACCCACAAGTTCATGAAGCCAATTCAGCTATCTGCAATACTTCAAAATTAAAATAAAGGCATATTTCCTATCTAAATCTTAAATGACTGCAGAGCTAGCAAGCTTTTCTTTTACAGAATGAAACTGTGAGATTCACTTCAGAAGAAGCCTAGAGTAAATGATCCACAAGGCTCATGAAAATCAGATCTGAAACATGCCTCCAACTTATTGGAGATCCTTCACATTAGAGATTCCTGGAGATCCATACACTGTGTAATACAGCATCTGTCCTGCTAGCCTGATACAGCTCTAAGAATTAGGCCCAAAATAAACTAGACTCTAAAAACAGACTGCCCATAGGTACATAAGCCTATGGTCTTTGGTTATTACAGCAAATGTTATCACAGGTACACTTAGGATTTGAATACTTACTTCTTTCAGACTAGGATTTCATATGAAATGTTACTTTACTATTCTTTGCTTATGAACTTGGATGAAAGGGAATCTAAAACGGAAGTAAAAGTAGCTTTTCACTGGGCCTCAGGGTGATAACAAGTATATTTAAATGACATCTACTGACTCGCTAATTATAAGTAAAATTAAGAGTTAGATATAAAAAATGTTTCCATTATCACTCCTTGATTTTATTAAGTTTAACTAGCAAAGCAATTAAAGATATATTCTCTGTGTAGAAGACAATTATATAAGTAAGAGCTATTAGAATTCTTGAATACAAAGTTAAGACATAAATCTTCAAAGTCTTTTTATATCTTAGATGTGATCTCCTTAGACTTTCTTAGTCTGTTTTTAACAAAATATTATCCAATTGCCAATTTCTAATACTTCCTAATTGACTCAAATTAATCTAATTTTCTGCATTCTCCATTATTTTTTCGAGACTGCATAAAGATGAGAATTACTCTAAAGCAGCTAACAATTCCTTTTACAAAGCTGCCTAAAATTGCTTGTTTTATGTTGCTCACTCGCTGTTTCTCATCGCTTTCTCTTATTTTCTCATCATTCCAGATTTTTGAAGAAATTCTCACTATAATTCTGCCAATGTCCTTTTGTGTAGCCCACCAGCTCTGCATTCGATGCTATAATAAAAATTAAAAGTAAAGTTAGCTGTTACCACTGAAGAATTTAATTACTTTAATTTCAGGGTCCTATGTGAATTGGCTATTAAACTGAGCTCATAAAAAGAAAACTGGATTCTGACTCTATCCCAATGATAAAAATTTAGCCTCATAGCCCTAACAGAACAATTTCCTATTCATTATAATTCTCTAGTCAATGTTTCCTAAATTAACTCACTGTTTTTCATTTTTTAAAAAAATATTTCAGAATAAGATTCATTATTTTAACAAAAAAGTGTTAATTAAAAATTTCATAAAAACAAGTTAAGAATTTATAACTTTTGATATGTTACACACTATTTAGTATTTCTTAACAATAATGTAAGACCTATATACTACCAAGAACACTATAAAATTCAGCTTTCCTAAATTAATTAGTGTGTGTATATGTATGTATCAGATGCATGTGTCACATATCAGAAGACATAAGAAATCACCATCCAGGTTACTGAGAACAATTCTTCTAAGTTGATATTCCAATAAAGAATTGATTTCCTTTGTATTATTAGCCTTGGGTAATTTAAAACCAGGACTCAGATATTTTAAATATGGACAATTTATTACCTCCCCCCATTAATTAAAGTAACAGAGATAAGTAAAGTAACAGATTGTACTGTATTTACATTACATACTTTGGGCCGGGTATCCACAACATACATGTAGCGATTGACTGGATTGGCTTTACTAATTGCTTGAAGCAAATGTTCATCCTCAAGGCACCTGGCACTGAATCCTGACAGTGGTTGACTACATCGACAAATGGCAGCCTAATTTTAACAAGACAGAAAACAGATTATGCCAAAAAAAAAAAAAAAAAAAAAAAGCTTAAGAGAAAAAAACTCAAAAGTTAAAATCAAATATGCAATTGTTTAAAAGATTGATGTAATCGAATACATTAATGTTGAAATCCGATTTGAATTAAATATTCTTTCAATATCCCGATGTTCCCTAAGTTTTCCCAGTACTCTCCTAAGACAACTAAATGCTTCCTTAACTAGTCTAATAGAAACAAAACTTAAGTCTTAAGAAAAATCACTTAGTCAATTCTCTATAGAGTTAAGATATCTGCATCCTATGCTCTACTTTAATTATAGGATACTTTCAATTCCGGTTAAGTAAAGGAATAGTCAATCGTGTAAAACATGAATTTTTAAAGTAGAAACATTTAAACATCTGAAAGTCCCAAAGACTTTCAGAATCTCTAATTGAAACAGCAATCTTTTTATAAAGTGAGATATAAAATAACAAAAGTGACATTCAATTCAAATTTGGATTAAAATATAGTCAACCTAGGAGGGCAAGAATACATTTTGAGAACTAGGGAATGACTGAATTCCCTATTAAATTTACTATATTTTAAAGTCTTGAATAAAATGTAAAAATTTAAACCCAGACACTTATTCTCCAATCTCATCCATGCCAACTCCAACTTAATTTTACCCAAATATTCTATATACAATCTCATTAAAGGAACAAAAGTAAACACAAAAATATATTTGTGCATATTTTAAATTCATATATAAAACAAAACCGTAAAAATATAAAACAAAAAAATGAAGACTGTATTATTAATTTTTTTCATATCTACTTTCTGATTTTATTAAGTTGGCCACTAAATATCTATTTTCAGCCCAGCTTTCCAATAAGCAACATACGTGAACATGGGTGTATCAAACAGGCCATATCCGGATAACCTCCTCACAATTTAATAATGAAAAGCAAATTGGAATAGTCTATATATGTCAATTAAGTCTAGGTTATTAATTGTGTTGTTGAGTTCTATAGTTTCATAGCAGCACAATTCACGATAGCAAGATTGTGGAACCAACCTAGATGCCCTTCAATAGATGAATGGATAAAAAAAATGTGGCATTTATACACAATGGAGTATTACTCTGCATTAAGAAATGACAAAATCATAGAATTTGGAGGGAAATGGATGGCATTAGAGCAGATTATGCTAAGTGAAGCTAGCCAATCCTTAAAAAACAAATGCCAAATGACTTCTTTGATATAAGGGGAGTAACTAAGGACAGAGCAGGGACGAAGAGCAGGAGAAGAAGATTAACATTAATAGGGATGAGAGGGGGGAGGGAAAGGGAGAGAGAAGGGAAATTGCATGGAAAGGAAAGGTGATCCTCAGGGTTATACAAAATTACATACAAGAGGAAGTGAGGGGTAAGGGAAGAATAATACAAGTGAAAGAAATGTTTTACAGTAGAGGGGGTTGAGAGAGAAGAGGGGAAAAGAGGGGAGGGGAGGGGGGATAGTAGAGGTTAGGATAGAGAGCAGAATTCATCAGACACTAGAATGGCAATATGTAAATCAATGGAAATGTAATTGATGTAACTGATGTGATTCAGCAATCTGTATACGGGGTAAAAATGGGAGTTCATAGCCCTTTTGAATCAAACTGTGAAATATATCAAGTTAGATGTAATGTTTTGAACGACCAACAATAAAAAAAAAAAAAAAGAAAAGCAAATTGGAAACTTTTGTTTAAACATTGACCTTTATCTCTGCTCCCTTCCAAAATCCAATCAAAATTCTAAAAAAATAAGTTTAAGATTATAAAATCACAAGGACAAAAAGAATAGAAAAGGAAACAATAATAGAGATGTCAATAAAATTTGGGGAAATGAAGCCAGGTATGGTGGAGACTGAAGCAGGAGGATCACAAATTTTAGGCCAGCCAGAAAAACTCAGTGAAATACTGTCTTAAAATTTAAAAAAGGGTTGGGGGATGTAACTCGGTGGTAGAGTGTTTGCCTAACCATACATGAAGCCCTGAGTTCAATCTCCAATACTGAAAAAAGGGGTGATAGCAGATTGTCAAGTGATAAATGACTTGTGGCAGAAGAAAGCTGCTAACTCCCCTAGATTGAAAAGAAACAAAGTATTCTGAGCATCAACATCCCAGAAAAGCTCAGGGGCTGAGTTCGGGTATGACTAAACACAGGATAACTGGTTGAATTCCTATATAAGGACTAGTTACGATTTCCAAAAATTTCCTTACCCTGAAGACAAAAGTTTATTCTATATACAGGATTAACCTGAAGACTCTGGACAACAGGTACAGCTATGGATGGGAGTGAAGCCATATATCCCCCAAAACAGGAGAACGAAATAAAAGTCTTCACAAAAAATGTGAAATCCTACCATCCCTGTTACCACAGTGTGGGTCACATCCAAAGTTACTATACACACCGGCAAAACATAAAGATTCCTCTTTAAGGATACCAATTAGATATCATAAAGAAGCCAATGATATAGAACTTTATGTACACAGCTGAGAAACCAGTTAAAAATTCAGATGTATGAAAGACAAAAAAATTTTTAAAAAGAAATTCTGGGGAAAGATAACTTACGTGGAAACACAACATTCTTTTTATTAAAAAAAAAATCCTTTTTCTCAGAGAACTAAGACACTATATCCAACAATAGAAAACTGAGTACAAATTTTTGGAAAATAAGAAAAGAGCTCAAATATTCAAAAAAAGAGCTTTAATACTCAATATTTAATATTGAAATATTAAAAAATGATCCATAAAAATAAAGAATCTAAGAGGCAGGCTAAAACAGAGATATGGCTGAGGAAATCTAGAAAATAGAGATGGAAGGAAAGAAGCCTAAAAAAAATAGAGATGCTAGAAAGCCCAATTGTCAATTAACATAAGTTAAAAAAAGAAGAGGAGGAGGAAAACAGAGGAAAGAAAATTAAAATTACCAAACAGAAAAGCAACTTGCCAAAACTGAGATCTGAGCAATGAACAATTCCTATTACAGCAACCCATCATAAAGATACTTCTTCTACCTCTTCATTTTGCAAAATCCTTATGATTTGAAGAGTTTGCTATTAAAATGGAAGCCTTAAATGTCCTTGGTTCTCTTTCTTCTCTCAGTGGTTGTTGGCTTGTCAAAGTATCCTGTTTCCCCAAATAAGCAGAATTAAAAGAGAACAGCAAAAAGGAAAAACCTATCTGCTCACTAGTCCCTTGTTTACAAGTCACTGAATAGAAGGAAGAAAGGGATGGTAAAGGAAGATGACAGCTATGAAATTTTCTATATTTTGGGGGTAGTTGTAAAATTTTAATTAAATGAAAAGCCAGCATTTTCCTATTATCAACATTATAATAATGGCCTTCTGAAGTAAAAATTAGTGTTCTTTTGGATATTTAAACCTAAAGGGGAGTTATAAAATCTTTTTTTTTTTATTGATTGTTCCAAACATTACAGAGCTCTTGATAAATCATCTTTCATACATTTGACTCCACTGGGTTTTGAACTCCCATTTCTACCCCAAATACAGATAGCAGAATCACATCTGTTACATACTCACATTTTTACCTAATGGCATATTAGTGACTGTTTTAATCTGCTACCTTTCCTAACCCCTACTATCCCCCCTCCCCTCCCCTCCCACCTTCCCTCTCTGCCTCCTCTGCTGTTGTTCAATTCTCTCCCTTTTTTCCCCCTCCCCCTTGCCCATC